ACACCACTGGAAAACAAGGTCCCGGAGCGCATTATGGCGGAGCGTGCGTTCCCCTCCAGTCGAACATATTCCTGAGTGATACCCATGGGTGTCGAGGACGGTATCGTATCTGGGGCACCAAGTGTCGGCACTGGCTTCAGGGACATTGAGGCGCACCCGTAATTCAGCGATGAATACCAATGGTTCCATCCGCGTGCGGCCAGAGGGCACACAAGAGAGGAACCCGCCGGGCTCCAGGCCCAGCTTCAGAGTACAGGGTGGCCTTGCCGAAGGCCGCCTCGTCCAGAGTGCGGCTGAATTCCTTCTGTGACTGGGCCAAGGCAACCGACACGGCGAATTGCTTGTCAGGAGGCAAATTGGCGTTGAAGTCCGACAAAGCAGCCGCAACATCGGTAGATTGGGTCCAGCCAGTAGCCACCATCCAGTTCGCTACATTGTAGAACACAGGCACCAACAGACACCAAGTAAGCTGCCGGGACATGCTCTCTGGTGAGGCGAAGGCCAAGTCCAGCATGGCCAAGACCACGCGTGGCTTGCTGCCACTGAGCAGGCTCCAAGTGCAGCACAGTAAACCCGGTAAAGGAGCTGAAACATTCTTGCACCAAGTGGTCGAAGGTGTCGAGAGCAGCTGCGTGTCCAGCCGGAGGGCAACATCGCATGGTGTGCATGAGACGTCCAAAGCCAACAGATGCCCGCAAAAGCCGCAGAGCCACTTGCGGATCCTCCAAACGTCCGATGGTATTAAGGAGCTTGCGGGTAGCTCCGACGCGGGCAGCAGCATGGGCTTGCAGGTACGCAGGGTCACCAATGCCAGTACCAAGAAAATCAAAATTACGCAGGATGTGGGTCTTCCCGTCAGATGTGGTGAGCAAGCTGGGTGGCAACATGGCTGTCAGGGCTGCACCGGGCGTCGTACCAATGGCAATGGCTTCGCTTTTGGTTAAGTTCAGCGAAAAATCGATAGTGGCCGAATCTTGCTGGAGTTACGCCAATGCAATTACAATATTATCAACGGACCCAGCGAGGACACCATCATCCAAATAGAATGAGGTGAAATCCGCAGGACTAGCCCGGAGGCCGACAGCCAGTGGCTGCACACCAGCAGCAAAAAGCAGGGGGCCCAAAGGATCACCTTGCTGCACACCAGTGCTGGACTGCAGAATGACCTTGTCAAATTGCAGATTACTCGGGCGCTGGTAGCACCATGTGGCCCACCGGGCTAAACTGGGAAAGTGTTCGCGAGCTTCTCGGAGGACAACATCCGGGCTGATGGTGATAAAAGCGTTCTTGAAATCGACCTTGACGACGACGGAGTCACTGGAAGCGGCGTGTCGCCCAACCCAAGTGCGAAGTACTTGCGCAGCAACTTCGGCTCCTTCTTGCCTTGATAATCACTCCTGCCTGGGCAAGCCAAAAATAGTTCTTGGTATTAACCTTCATTTCATGTATCAGGTACTTGGCCGTCAGGCGACGAAATAATTCACCCACGGCGATTGACCGGATACCGCCAAATGGCTTCGGCAACGCCACCAACCCAACGCCTGCAAGCAAGGGGGTAATCGTGACACGAGCACGACCTTGGGCAAGCAAGTTCACCGACAGCAGTGAGTTGCTCAAGCTCCATGGTGGCTCCACCA